AATGACTATAGTGGTGCATTTCCCTCAGCCTATCCCATATCTCCTAACGCCAACTATGGCAGCCCCAACCCAAATGATTTTGTGAGATATCTTGCACGCCGTGAACTTGTGTCTACAGGCTTACTTCAATTTAATGACAAGCCACAGAACTACAGAGCCTGGAAACGCTCATTTCTATCTGCAACCAGTGGCTTAGATTTGACTGCGAGTGAAGAGATGGATCTTCTTTTAAAGTGGCTTGGCAAGGAGTCAAAAGAACACGCAGAGCAGATCAGAGCAATTCATGTTAATCATCCAGGAGCTGGGCTGGATATGATATGGGAAAGACTTGATAGAACCTACGGCTCAAAGAGGCAATAGAGGATTCTCTCTTCAAGCGCATTGACACATTTCCAAAGGTAGGAAATCGAGACTATGCTAAGTTAACAAAGTTGAGTGATCTTCTGATGGAACTTCTTTCGGCTAAGGATGAAGGAGACCTACCTGGACTTTCATTCCTCGACACAGCAAGAGGTGTCTTCTTTTTTGCTACGTGGCCACAAACCAGAACCCTGCAGACCATGCAACACGTTCTGTTGCTGCAGGCACTTTAAAAGACACCAACTGGCTTAGTGGACCCAGGTTTCTGTCCAAACCAGAGCAAGACATCCCTGACATCACCTTTGATCTTGTGGACCCAGGTTCAGATCCAGACATCCGACCGCTTGTGTCCACATTAAGCACTGCCACAGCATCCAAGCAACTTGGGTCCCAACGATTCACCAAGTTTTCTTCGTGGCAGTCACTGACTCGTGCAATCGCCCATCTGAAACATATTGCCAGTTGTTACAACATGATCACAACAAACAAACCTTGTAAGGGCTGGCATCTTTGTAAGACAGGATTTAGTGTTGAGGAATCCACCCAAGCCTCAGACATCATCATTCGAACAGTCCAAGAAGAGGTTTATGGCGAGGAGATCAAATGTATCGTAATACACAAAGAGGTTCCCAGAAGTAGTCCTCTGAAAAGTCTCGATCCCTTTATTGATGCATTGATGGCCTACTAAGAGTCGGAGGTCATCTTCACTATTCGAGTCTTGCTCAGAGTGAGAAGACTCCTGTGATTATTCCAGGGAATCATCATATTGCAACCCTGCTCATTAGACAGTACCACGAACAAGTTCACCATCAAGGGCGTCTCTTTACGGAAGGGGCCATCCGTGCAGCTGGATTTTGGATAGTTGGTGGAAAGAGAAAAGTGAGCAGCATCATCTACCGATGTGTGACATGCAGAAGACTTAGAGCTCCAGTAAGCTGCCAAAAAATGGCCAGCCTTCCGACAGATCGTCTCTCAACAGACCCTCCCTTCACAAATGTTGGCCTTGATGTGTTTGGTCCTTGGAGTGTTTCTGCACGCCGGACTAGAGGAGGCCTCTCACACAGCAAAAGGTGGGCCGTGATTTTTACATGTATGAGCGTAAGAGCCGTACATAATGAAGTCATAGAATCCCTCGACACATCCAGCTTTATCAACGCATTAAGGCGGTTTCTAGCAGTTAGAGGGCCGGTCAAAAGTATTCGATCAGACAGAGGCACTAACTTTGTGGGTGCTTGTCAGTCCTTGAAGATACCCTCTAACATCGACCACAATGGCGTCAAGTCTTATCTGTCAGCCCAAGGATGCTCTTGGACATTCAACCCTCCACATGCCTCCCACTTTGGTGGAACGTGGGAAAGGATGATTGGTCTGGCTAGAAGGATTCTTGACTCCATGTTCCTCCAGCTCAAGGGGAAGCTGACCCATGAAGTGTTGGTAACTTTCATGGCAGAAGTAGCAGGCATCATTAATGCCCGGCCTCTTGTTCCTGTAACAACTGACCCCGACAACTCATCATTCATTCTTACGCCAGCTGCTCTTCTAACACAGAAGGTAAACTGTGTTCCTGCTCCTCCAGGAGAGTTTGGAGCCGCTGACCTCTACAAGCATCAGTGGAGACAAGTCCAGCACCTGTCCAACACCTTCTGGGACAGGTGGCGCAAGCAGTTCCTTCCAACATTGCAATCACATAGGAAGTGGCAGTCATCTAACCCAAACATTAAGCCAGGGGATGTTGTTCTCCTCAAGGACAGTCAAGTACAAAGAAATAAGTGGCCACTTGGTCTGGTAACACAGACCTTCCAAAGCAAAGATGGTAAAGTTCGCCAGGTCGAGGTCAAGGTCATCAAGCCAGGAGGAGAAACATTGTTTGTGAGACCCATTACAGAAATAGTACTTCTTCTGGCTTCAGATGTCTAGGTGTTGAACTGTCATTGACAAAGTGTGGTGGCGTTAATCACGCCAGGCGGGGAGTGTTCTGATATCAAAAGTTTTTAAGGTAGACTGTTTTCTTGGATTTGGTAAATGTTTAAATATGCAATTGTAACTCTCTGGTGCCACCTCAAAACCTGTAGTCTGTAATAGGACATGATGTCGTCGGTAAACAGGAAGTAAGTCTGTGAATTAAGGAGAAGGCATGTGCAGCATGGTGGCCTTAGCCAGATAAATCCAGTGGCATCCACATACATCCTATGCCTTTGGTAGCATTGTGGGTATGTATAGACTTGTTTTATATTTTATGTGCATGTATAGACCACTTTCTTTCAAGTAAGTTAATTTTTTTGTAAGTTTAATGATAAAACCAATCTTATGCAGTTTAAGCTAGCAATCGCTTATGGAGCTAGTTAAAGGGGAATGACAAACGAATTGGAGGCATTCATTATAGTAAGACTTGTTAAAATCATAATTTGATGTTTGTATTTGACTTAAAAAGGGAAGTAATTCATATGGACATTGCATGTTGACATATTAAAAAACTGGGTTAATATATTTTCATCGTTATATATGTACATGGTGAATAAGTACAGTGATTATGCCTTGTACTGTTTGTTACAGTTTCACCTTTCCCTGTGTCAATAAACCTGTGAACCGGGAATCGTGTCGTCAGAGTCTTGATGTGGGGAAGGAGTTTAGCTGACTGCCCAACCATAGCAGAGGCAGTACAGACTCACAGACACAATATTCATAACCTCAATAAATGGCCTGTATTTGTATAGCGCTTTACCCACCCACTCACACACTGGTGATGGCAAGCTACATTGTAGCCACAGCCACCCTGCAGCACACTGACAGAGGTGAGGCTGCTGGACACTGGCGCCACCGGGCCCTCTGATCACCACCAGTAGGCAATGGGTGAAGTGTCTTGCCCAAGGACACAACGACCAAGACTGTCTGAGCCGGGGCTCGAACCGGCAACCTTCCGATTACAAGGCGAACTCCCAACTCTTGAGCCACGACCACCCATAAATATCATTTGCTAGTTTTCACTCTTTTTTGGTACAACATGGCGCTCTTTTCATTTATGCTCCATTTAGAATTAATGCTCTTTAGAAAGGATTAGTGGTAAAAGTGCTAAAGTTGAACAATCATAATGAGAGTACAAAAGCCAGGGGGCGGCATCCTGACATCTTTACGTACACATAATGAAACCGCAGCTCCTCCCTAACACGCTGTATATATTTAACCATTTTATCATTTTTCTTGCATTATATTTGTATTTATTAATAACTACTAATTTATCAACAGTGGTCTGCATTAATGATCTAAAAACAGATAGAAGGGAACTGAATAACTGTAAGAATTTGTTGTTGGGAAAATGCCATTTATTCAGGTTAAATCTGGTCACTGTTTAGTATTAAATTCTGCGGCACTTATTAAATATGGGACATGTTATTTAAATTTATGTGGAATATTCATAATTTGTAGCTGGTGTAGTAACTACAGATAAACATGTTGTAGTCATGACATTGTTTTCAGTGGCCAAACTGAATGCGCACAACTAAAGCAGCTTCTTATGCTTCTGCCGTTCTGTAATAAACTATTCCTTGAGGTGCAGCGTGTACATATGTTTTTTAGAGTTGTGACTGCAATCACCTGCTACACACATTTGTTAATGGGCTTCTTGAGTGACTTGCAGCAGCCAATTAATGTAGATAAGTTGGAACGCCTACATTCTGAGGTTGATGGATTTTTATGCAGGAAAAACTTGTATTGCGGCCATCTGCTGTGCATTATCAAGTCTACTGTGTCATCTCATGTTGGTTTTTTTTTGGCAATTATTCTTTGTTATTTAAGTTTTAGTTGAATCTGGACTTGCTGTATAACCAGCTACAAGTGCTTATGAGTATACCCTTGCCTAAAAACATTCATGTGTGCGTTTGTAAGTATTACACTTGTGTTGCGTGTGTTTTGCCGTCAAACAGCACAGATTTTACAGACCACCAATATTAGGTTAGGCTCTCTGCATAGGCTCACAGAGCTCCAGCCTGCATCTGTAATTAATGGTTGCCTCATCTGTTATACCTTGTTATACTGGGACACTGCAGAGATAAAATAAACATTAGAGAAGACAGAGATTGCATGTTTGAAGCTATACATCATGTGTATGCTCTTCATTAATATATATCCACGATTCCCGATCAATTGTTAGCATTTTTTAACACAACGTTTAACAATGAAATTGTAGATGTAGCTCCCCATACTGCTAAGCAAAAAGCATATATCATAAAAGAAGTTTGGTCATTAAAAGACTAAAATCGTGAAGGATGAGCTCAGTAATGTCATTGCCTGAAGAAAGAAACTGCTTCAATGTCTCATGATACTTCAGCAGGATACTGCTGTATGTCTTGCCAGATGGCAGCAGGTTGAACAGGTTGTGGCTGTGCTGGGTAATCTTTTAGTATCCTCTGGGCTCTGCACAGACACCTCACCTCACTGATATCATTGATGCTCTTAGTTTCATTACATATACGTGCGTGTACGTGCGTGTACGTGTGTGTGTGTGTGTGTGTGTGTGTGTGTGTGTGTTACTACTGGATTCAGGAAAATCCAAGAGCCAGTATTAACTCAAATGATGTCAAAGTTGTCTGTAATTTGCTCAGGGCACTGTGCTTCATGCTGGACACAACCAGTGATATTACAGCATTATAATTTTATTACAGGAAGTTAAAAAAATGGGGGAAATTGAAGACAGATTGAATAGAAATATGTATATGCTTTTCAAACAAAAAAAACATACAATTTTTGTTGCAGTGAAAAAAGGGGGAGTTTTAAAATTAGAGTTGGCAGAGCAGAAGAATTGCTGCTTTGATGTGTTCTGAGTTGTGTTCAATACTAATTACCCTCACTTCTCTGCTGAACTAGAACTTGTTGCTAGTATGACCTCAATAATGGCTTGTATGAGTCCTCTTTTGAACTAGAAGTGGGAACATTTAGAGATTTTGATGCCAGGGGAAACACTGTTGCTGTTGCTGGCAGAGTACTCTTGTTTAATGCGGTTTTCATAACTTATTTAAGCTGTTTTTTCCCGTTTTCTTTGAGACCAGGAAACAATCAAATCCTAAAAATTTTGTTTTTTCTTTTATAATTATGACAGCAACTTCTAGGCACTTTCTTTTCAGTAATAGTTAAAATGCCTTTATCTCATGTACTGTAACCTAAAAGACTAATTTTAGCATGCAAACACTTATTCATGGAGCAAAAGGCTCATTTTTAATAGTGTTCCAACTATTAGGATGTGTAACAGGCTAGTCCAGTGATCTGTATGATCTGTACTAGATTACATAACAGTTTGACACACACAGACATTACAACATTACGACACGTTGCGTGATGAGGTGAAAGGATAAAGATACAGGTGAGCACAGGGAGATAAAACACCTGTTCGACCGCCAGTAAATCACATGGCAGCAACTTGGTGCATGTAGAGATGGTCATGATGGCCCACTGAAGCTCAAAGTGCATATCAGAATGTGGAAGAAAGGTGATATAAGTCACTGTAAAGGCGGTATTGTTGTTTGAGCCAAATGGGTTTGAGTATTTCTGAAACTGCTGGTCTTGCTGGGATTTTCCTCCATGACCATGTTTGGGGTTTACAGAGAATGATACTAAAAAAGAGAAAACATTTATTGAATGGCAGCTATCTGCTGCTTCCAGCAGGATAGAGCACCGTGCCACAAAGCTCAAATCACC